AGGAGAATAGAGATGAGTCAGCAGGAGTCTGTTGCAAGAGGGCGGAGTCAAAATCAGAGTCGTAAGAAGGAGAGAAGGGGAAGATCTCGTTCAAAGGGAAAAATCAATAGGGATCAATGTGCTTTTGTCGTGAGAAAGGGCATTGGAAGAAAGATTGTCCGAAGTTGCAAAAGAAAGAGGGCAAAGCTACTTCTGATGCATACGTTGTTGAGCGTGTAGAGGATGAGTCTGATTTCGTTTAGTTAGCCTACCATCCACTCCTGGATCAAAAGAGTGGATTATGGATTCGGTTGTACCTATCATATGTGTCCCACAAGGAGTGGTTCTTTAATTTTGAAGAACTTGATGGTGAGTTGTTTATATGGGCAATGATGATGCTTGTAAAACAACTGGGATAGGTTCAATTCGGTTGAATAATCATGATGGCTCAACTAGAACTCTGACAGATGTTCGGTATGTACGAAGTTGAAAAAGAATCTCATCCTTTGGGAGCCTTGGAATCTAAAGGCCTCACAGTGAATATGCGAGATGGAGATTCTAAAAGTTTCTTCAGGCGCTCTTGTGGTAATGAAAGGCACGAGGAGAAACAACTTGTATTACTATAATGGTAGTACAGTTATTGAAACGACAGCTGCAGTCGTGCAGAAGGATGCAGATTCAGAAATGCTCAAGCTGTGGCATATGCGTTTGGGGCATGCAGGTGAAAAAGCCTTACTTAGTGTTGGTGAATCAAGGCTTATTGAAAGGTGCAAAGACCTGTAAGCTGGACTTCTATGAGCATTGTGTTCTGGGAAAACAAGCAAGAGTGAAATTGGCACCGCAACCATAATACTAAGAGTATTTTGGATTATGTTCATTCTGATGTGTGGGGACTACCAAAACAACATCTTTGGGAGGTATGCACTATTTGTCACTTTTGTAGATGATTTTTCCAGAAGAGTTTGGGTGATGTGATAAAAACTAAAGATAATGTACTTGGTGTTTTCCTTAAATGGAAAAAGATGATTGAGACTCAGACTGGCAGAAAGATCAAGCAGTACGACAGATAATGGTGGGGAGTATCGTAGTGATCCGTTTTTGAAAGTTTGCCAAGATGAAGGAATAGTACGTCACTTTACAGTAAGAAATACACACAGCAGAATAGGGTGGCAGAACGATGAATCGAACTATACTGGAGAAAGTTCGATGTATGTTGTCCAATTCTGGGTTGGGCAAAGAGTTTGGGCTGAGGCAGTTATATATGCGTGTCATCTCATCAATCGTTTACCATCAACTGCAATTGAAGGCAAGACGCCGATTGAGGTATGGTCTGGAAAAACTCGTTTCTGATTATGACTCTTACGTGTTTTTGGTTCCACTGCTTATTATTGTGAAAGAGTCTAAGTTAGACCTAGAGCAAAGAAAGCAGTATTATGGGGATTACCTCAGGTGTGAAAGGATACCGTCTTTGGTGTCCAAGTTCGAAGAAAAATACTGTTTAGGGATGTGACATTTGATGAGTCTTCTATGTTAGAAAAGAAAACAGGAAGCCATATGAAGGTTTTCAGTACTCCGCAACAGGTGGAGCATACTCAGCAGCAGGTGGAGTTTGAAACAACATCAGTTAGCCCAGCTGGAAATGGAGATCCTATGATAGAGGAGTTCATTGGAGATGAAGAAGAGGATTCTCCCTAAGAACTCAACAAGAATCCATTGCTGTTAATAGGCCAAGACGAGAAATTCGCAAGCCTGCTCGTTTTGCTGATACGGTGGCCTATGCACTCCCAATTGAAGGGTGAAGTTCTTCCACTTATAATGAAGTAGCTAGCAGTTCCGAAAATGGTAAGTGGAGGAAAGCCATGAAAGAAGAGATGCAGTCTCTCATAAGAATGAAACTTGGGAGGTTGTTCAATTACCAAAGAATCAGAAGGCAATTGGATGCAAATGGGTATATGCAAAGAAAGAAGGATTTCCGAATTTGAAAGACATCCGATACAAGGCAAGGTTGGTGGCGAAAGGCTACGCTCAGAAGGAAGGAATAGATTTCAATGAGGTATTTTCTCCAGTTGTAAAGCATTCTTCATTAGAATTTTATTGGCCTTGGTTGCTCAGATGAATCTTGAACTTGTTAACTTGATGTGAAAACGCGTTTCTACATGGTGATTTGGAAGAGGAAATCTATAGACTCAGCCAGAAGGATTTAGGAGTATTGGGAAGGAAGATTGGGTTTGTAAATTGAAAAGATCGCTTTATGGTTTGAAAACATCTCTGAGGCAGTGGTACAAGCGATTTGATAGGTTTATGATGGGTCAGGAGTACACAAGAAGTAAATTTGACAACTGTGTGTATTTCAAAGGCTACAAGGTGATACTCTCATTATCTACTCTTATAGTTGATGATATGTTGATTGCTTCAAAGAATGTAGAAGAAATTGAGAAGTTAAAGGCTCAACTAAATCAAGAATTTGAGATGAAGGATTTAGGGGAAGCCAGAAGATTCTGGTATGGAGATATTGAGATAGAGGAAATGCAAGGTTTGTTTGACACAAAAGCAGTATCTAAAGAAGGTCTTACAACGTTTTGGTTAACTGAAAGTACAAAACCTGTAAGTACTCCACTTGCTCATATAAAGCTTAGTGCGTCATTATCTCAAGTACGCATGAAGAACGAGAGTATAGTCAAAGTTCCGTATTCAAAAGCGGTTGGTAGCTTGATGTATTCAATGGTGTGTACTAGGCCCGACATTTCACATGCAATTGGAATTGTGAGCAGGTATATGCATGATCCTGGTAAAGGATATTGGCAAGTGTGAAGTGGATTTTACGGTATATTATAGGTACTGTAACATTGGTTTGGTTTTTGAGCGGGATGAAAATCTTAGTCAATTTGCTGTTGCTATGTTGATTCTGATTATGCTGGTGATTTGGACAAGCGTCAGTCAACTACTGGATATGTATTTACTCTTGCTAGAGCTCCAGAAGTTGGAAATCTTCTTTGCAGTCTACAGTTGCTTTGTTCTACAGAGGCAGAATACATGGCAGTTACAGAGGCTGTGAAGGAAGCTATTTGGTTACAAGGGATTGGATGAATTGAAAATTAGTCAGAAGAAGATCACTATATTCTGACAGTCAGAGTGCTATTCACTTAGCAAAGAATCAGTATTCCACTTTCGCACACAAGCATATAGATGTTCGTTACCACTTTGTGTGGGAAATTATTTCTGAAGGAAGAATCTTATTAGAGAAGATGGGACTGCTGAGAATCCTGCAGATGTCTAACAAAAGTAGTGACAATGATCAAGTTCAATCATGTTTGAACTGATCAACATCCTGCGAGCTTGATTGTGCTTTTTGGCATATTGGAGGCGTTGCAAAATTTGACAGAAGAATACAAGACTGTGAAGGTTTGCTAATTCGCCAAGGTGGAGATTTGTTGAAAAAGGCTTTTAGCAAAATCACATGGGGTAGAAATGATAAGGAGAAAGGTTAGTGGACTTATATGTAATAGGCTAAGAAAAGGTTGTTTGTCCCACATTGATTAGGATTGAAAAGTGGGAAACTTTTGGGGCCTATATATAAGGACCCATATCATTGTTATTAAGCATCCCAAGTTGTAATTTCATTAGACTTCTTTTGTTTAGGGTTCTTTCTTTAATGACCCTTTAATTTGCAAGTTTTATTGTATCTCCCCTTTGTTTTGAGTATTTGTTGTATTGTCCAAATATTTGTAATATTGTTTGGAGATAGTGGAGCTTTCTTTTGCAGCGCCCAAGGACTGTAGGTTTTAATACCGAACCTCGTTAATTCCTGGTATTCTTTATTTTTGCATTTAATTTTGGCAATTTATTTATGCTTTACTACTTGTATTATTATATTCAATAAGCTAGCATTAGAGTTTATGTTTCCGTTGCATAACAACGTGGTGATGCCAATTCATCTGCCACGCCAGATAGTTTTTAAAAAAAAAATTCCCCCAAAAAAATTCCCGCTGACGAATTTCTCCTTCCCCCCTAAATCACCAACCACCACTACAGCACTGAAAATAAACTCCGGCACCACCTTTCACTTCACCGGCCTCCCTTGACCAAAACCCCTATCATCCGCACCAAAGATCACCCACCAATCGCCGGTCGCCGCTCATCTAGGGTTCGCCATCTTCAAACCAATTTTCGGTCGATTTCGACATCGGAAATCTACCCCAACGCCACCTTTCACCTCACTGGCCTCTCCTGACAAAAACCCCTATCATCTCCACCGAAGATCACCCACCAATGCAATGTTTGAACTTGTTTTCTAGGTTTGTGATTGTTTCAATTAACTGCTGTGTTTTTTTTTTCATTTTTCTTTTTGGTTTACAGCTCCATGGATCAGTTCTGTTCGTCAATTGAATCAATTCTTGGTTCCATCAAATGCTGGAACTTCTTTTGGAAAACAATGCTTTGTAAAACCAATTTGTGCAGAACTAAGGAGCGACTCGGGGGTTCCTCTTGCAGTTGGTGTGGTTATATGGATATGAATCATGGTAACTGTCTGTGGAAATCTTGAACCACCTTCTTGTCTACGCTTGAAAAATTTCTTTAGACAACATGAGATGCACATTTTGTGCTGCTGTAGCCATGTGTAGCATTTTTTCCTTGAAGCAGTTGTGGCAGAGATTAGTTGGCCGATGAAGTTTATTAAATGATGTTTCCTTAATTCCAAATTAGTGGTCGACAGTTTTTGAATATCTTAATATTTCTGTAAATGCTTTCTGTAAAGTTGATCACACATAACAGGACTTGAGAGAGCTTTTTAAGTAACATGTTATGTGTTTCAGGTGGTTTTTGAATGGTAATGGAGAACAACAAATTCATGGATCACGCACAGTAGAATTCCCCTGAAGAAATTCCATCACTCCTCCAGTTCTTATCATCAAATGAAGTTGAGAGCTTTGACATTGTTGGAGGAAAAAAAGGCTTAAATAATCAGAGTCAACCAAGTGAAATTAAACCTCTGAATTCATCAACTATGGTAAGAATACATTCTATTTTNACGAATAAGCGATTTCAAATATGTTACCCTTTCTGTGAGGGAAAGGAGTTTCGGATTCTGAAATCCTGCTCATTATTCCACCGTACGGACTCCATAGCATTATTGGGTTATCTTCTTCCAATAACCTTTTCCATAGTCCCCCAAGAACTGTTTCACGAATGGGTTCATTAACGTAGTCTGATTTTCCTTTGAAATAGTTTCTGAGAATATTCTGTCGTTGAAGTAGAATTTCAGGAGTTGAGTTACTTGGGAAAAGGCCATTAGTAACCACAGACTGGATCCAGGTTGTTTCATTGCAATCTTGCCGTGCCAATCCCAGTTCAGGGAATTTTTCCCGCAAAATTTGGAGGAGGCTATCAGCACCACCAAGATATAGAGCACTGTATGAGGTTGATACAGTTCTCTTGCCATTTCCGCCACCATTGACCACTTGTATGAGAACTCTAACAAAGAGATCCTCATCAAGCGTATGTGCAACTTGTTGCCATTTATAGAGGATCTTCGTGGCACCTTGTTCTAGGGTCCTTGCAACTGTAAAAATTGTCACAGTTGATGGCACAGGAACCAATTTTATCTTCCATGAAAGGATAATTCCAAAGCTTCCTCCTCCGCCTCCCCTAATTGCCCAAAATAGATCTTCACCCATGGCTGCTCGGTCAAGAACTCTGCCGCTTGCGTCTACAATTTTAGCATCGAGGACATTGTCAGCACCAAGACCATATTTTCGTAACAAGAAACCATAAGCACCTCCAGTGATGTGCCCACCAACGCCTAAGCTCGTGCAAGCACCCGCAGGAAAAGCATGAATTTTGCTTTTCTCCGCAATTCTGTAGTAGACTTCACCAATTGTTGCACCTGCCTCAACCCACGCGTTGTTATTATCAATATCGATGCTTATGGATCGAAGCTTGGAAAGGTCTACAACAATGAAAGGTGTTTCAATTTCTGATACATACGAGACCGCCTCATAGTCATGGCCTCGTCTTCGAATTCTCATATGAATTCCAAAGTGTTTGGAGCAAATAACGGCTGCTTGGACATGGGATTCATTCAAGGCGTGAAGTAAACTCAGGCTTTCGTACTGAAGGCCTGTAAACCTGAGGTTTTGAGCGGTTGATAGAAGGACTGAAGAATAAGAAGAGTGTTTGAGACGTAAAGAATGGAAGAAGGGACAGAAAGCTAGAAATGACAGAAAGGCAATGCAGAAAACTGTCTGGAGTTGGAATTGAAATGTAAATGAAAAAGGAGGGGAAGATATAAAAGAAAGTAATAGCGTGAAGACTTCATTGTTGCAGTGTGTGTAGGTGCTGAATAATAGTGAGAGTAGAGTAATGGTATATATAATAAGAACGAGAAAATTATATTCTAATAGTGAAGCAACATAACTTCACAGATTGGATATTTGATTGATGACATATTATGAACTTAATTTGGAAATGGCAACAATTAGGTGATTATCTCATTCTCATCTACCTATAATATATGTAGACTGGATATATAAAAATCAAATATGTAAGTAGTTGAAGTATAGGTAAGGATTATTAAACAGAAATCTATGCATACTACTCATTTTTACTGGCGTGTGACGGTGTGTGAAAAAAAGGCTTTTAGCAAAAAACATGGGGTAGAAATGATAATGGAGAAAGGTTTAGGGACCTATATGTAATAGGCTAAGAAAAGGTTGTTTGTCCCACATTGATTAGGATTGAAAAGTGGGAAACTTTTGGGGCCTATATATAAGGACCCATATCATTGTTATTAAGCATCCCAAGTTGTAATTCCATTATACTTTTTTGTTTAGAGTTCTTTCTTTAAGGACCATTTAGTTTGCAAGTTTTGTTGTATCTCCCCCTTGTTTTGGGTATTGTTGTATTACCCAAATATTTGTAATATGTTTGGAGATAGTGGAGCTTTCTTTGCAGCGCCCGAGGACTGTAGGTTTTAATACCGAACCTCGTTAATTCCTGGTATTCTTTATTTTTGCATTAATTTTGGCAATTTATTTATGCTTTACTACTTGTATTATTATATTCAAAAGCAGCGTTAGAGTTTATGTTTCCGTTGCATAACAATTGGTATCAGAGCCTAGGTTAGGACAGTGAGTAGCTATTGTATGGTTATATGCATGTCTAGGAAAATTCTGTCAAAAAGACGTAAAAGTCTAAGGAGACTGGATTTAAGTGGGACCATTTGTGACCCCTCCATGTTTCCTGGGAATTTCCTGGTGCGTATTTAATCAATTCAGCATACTATACCAGGGCTATGTTGATTTGTTAGTTAGCTATTGAATATAATAATTTGTGGAGCTTGGTTATTGGGAACTTGTTTACCAAGCCAATTGAGTAAGGCATAAATGGCATCATTGTCCGAGGATTCATCGTCCGAGGCATCACCATCGCGGGCACCACCATCCGCACCAGTAAAGATGATAACGGTTTCAAATACAAAAATTGATGTTGAAAAATTTGATGGCCAAAATAATTTTGGCTTGTGGTAGAGTGAGGTAATGGATAGCTTGTATCAGCAGGATCTAGATATAGTCTGGAGGAGGAAAAAACAGAAGATGTCTATGAGAAAGACTAGGTGAGGTTGAATGTAAAAGCGTGCGGGATGATTCGCTCGTGTCTTTGTAGAGAGCAAAAATACCATTCATGAAAGAGACTCTGCCAATAAGTTATGGAAGGCACGGAAAACAAATATATGAAAAGAAGTAATGAGAATCGACTCTATTTGATGAAAAGATTTCGTCTTCAGTTGAGACCTGGTACGAATATAGTAGCCATATTGATACATTTAACAGATTAATTGTGATTGTGTAAATTGGATGAAACATTCAAAGATGAGCATGGCTATGTTGTTAATTGGATCTCTTCCAGATGGTTGGACTATTTAGTATTACACTTCTTCATGGGAAAGAAAAATGTCCTGAAGAAGTTTGTTCTGCTCTGTCCAATCATGAAATTCGGAAGAAGGATCAGAAGGAGAATAGAGATGAGTCAGCAGGAGCTCTTGTGCAAGAGGGCGGAGTCCAATCAGAGTCGTAAGAAGGAGAGAAGGGGAAGATCTCGTTCAAAGGGAAAACTCAATAGGGATCAATGTGCCTTTTGTCGTGAGAAAGGGCATTGGAAGAAAGATTGTCCGAGTTGCAAAAGAAAGAGGGCAAAGTACTTCTGATGCATACGTTGTTGAGCGTGTAGAGGATGAGTCTGATTTCTGTTAGTTAGCCTACCATCCACCTCTGGATCAAAAGAGTGGATTATGGATTCAGGTTGTACCTATCATATGTGTCCCCACAAGGAGTGGTTCTTAATTTTGAAGAACTTGATGGTGGAGTTGTTATATGGGCAATGATGATGCTTGTAAAACAACTGGGATAGGTTCAATTCGGTTGAATAATCATGATGGCTCAACTAGAACTGACAGATGGTCGGTATGTACCGAAGTTGAAAAAGAATCTCATCTCTTTGGGAGCCTTGGAATCTAAAGGGTTCACAGTGAATGCGAGATGGAATTCTAAAGTTTCTTCAGGCGCTCTTGTGGTAATGAAAGGCACGAGGAGAAACAACTTGTATTACTATAATGGTAGTACAGTTATTGAAACGACAGCTGCAGTCGTCAGAAGGATGGATTCAGAAATGTCAGCTGTGGCATGCGTTTGGGGCATGCGGTGGAAAAAGCCTTACTAGTTGGGGAATCAAGGCTTATTGAAAGGTGCAAGACCTGTAAGCTGGACTTCTATGAGCATTGTGTTTGGGAAAACAAGCAAGAGTGAAAATCGAGCACCGCAACCATAATACTAAGAGTATTTTGGATTATGTATTCTGATGTGTGGGCCATACAAAACATCTTTGGGGTAGGTACTATTTTGTCACTTTTGTAGATGATTTTTCCAGAAGAGTTTGGGGTATGTGATAAAAACTAAAGATAATGTACTTGGTGTTTTCCTTAAATGGAAAAAGATGATTGAGACTCAGACTGGCAGAAAGATCAAGCAGCTACGTACAGATAATGGTGGGGAGTATGTAGTGATCCGTTTTTGAAAGTTTGCCAAGATGAAGGAATAGTACGTCAATTTACAGTAGAAATACACCACAGCGAATAGGGTGGCAGAACGCATGAATCGAACTATACTGGAGAAAGTTCGATGTATGTTGTCCAATTCTGGGTTGGGCAAGAGTTTTGGGCTGAGGCGTAGATATGCGTGTCATCTCATCAATCGTTTACCATCAACTGCAATTGAAGGCAAGACGCCGATTGAGGTATGGTCGGAAAACCTGTTTCTGATTATGACTCTTTACGTGTTTTTGTTCCACTGCTTATTATCATGTGAAAGAGTCTAAGTTAGATCCTAGAGCAAAGAAAGCAGTATTATGGGGATTACCTCAGGTGTGAAAGGATACCGTTCTTGGTGTCCAAGTTCGAAGAATACTGTTAGTAGGGATGTACATTTGATGAGTCTTCTATGTTAGAAAAGAAAACAGGAAGCCATATGAAGGTTTCAGTACTCCGCAACAGGTGGAGCATACTCAGCAGCAGGTGGAGTTTGAAACAACATCAGTTAGCCCAGCTGGAAATGAGACTCCTATGATAGAGGAGTTCATTGGAGATGAAGAAGAGGATTCTCCCTAAGAACCTCAACAAGAATCCTATGCTGTTAATAGGCCAAGACGAGAAATTCGCAAGCCTGCTCGTTTGCTGATACGGTGGCCTATGCACTCCAATTGAAGATGGTGAAGTTCCTTCACTTAAATGAAGTAGCTAGCAGTTCCGAAAATGGTAAGTGGAGGAAAGCCATGAAAGAAGAGATGCGTCTCTCCATAAGAATGAAACTTGGGAGGTTGTTCAATTACCAAAGAATCAGAAGGCAATTGGATGCAAATGGGTATATGCAAAGAAAGAAGGATTTCCGAATTTGAAAGACATCCGTACAAGGCAAGGTGGTGGCGAAAGGCTACGCTCAGAAGGAAGGAATAGATTTCAATGAGGTATTTCTCCAGTTGTAAAGCATTCTTCCATTAGAATTTTATTGGCCTGGTTGCTCAGATGAATCTTGAACTTGTTCAACTGATGTGAAAACCGCGTTTCTACATGGTGATTTGGAAGAGGAAATTATATGACTCAGCCAGAAGGATTTAGGAGTATTGGGAAGGAAGATGGGTTGTAAATTGAAAAGATCGCTTTAGGTTTGAAACAATCTCTGAGGCAGGGTACAAGCGATTTGATAGGTGATGGGTCAGGAGTACACAGAAGTAAATTTGACAACTGTGTGTATTTCAAAGGCTACAAGGTGATACTCTCATTTATCTACTCTTATATGTTGATGTATGTTGATTGCTTCAAAGAATGTAGAAGAAATTGAAAGTTAAAGGCTAACTAAACAAGAATTTGAGATGAAGGATTTAGGGAAGCCAAGAAGATTCTCGGTATGGAGATAATTAGAGATAGGGAAATGCAAGGTTTGTTTGACCAAAAGCATATCTAAGAAGGTCTCAACACGTTTTGGTATAACTGAAAGTACAAACCTGTAGTACTCACTTGCTCCTCATATAAAGCTTAGTGCGTCATTATCTCCAAGTACGCATGAAGAACGAGAGTATATGTCAAAGTTCGTATTCAAATGCGGTTGGTAGCTTGATGTATTCAATGGTGTGTACTAGGGCCGACATTTCACATGCAATTGGAATTGTGAGCAGGTATATGCATGATCCTGGTAAAGGATTGGCAAGCTGTGAAGTGGATTTTACGGTATTATAGGTACTGTAAACATTGGTTTGGTTTTTGAGCGGGATGAAAATCTTAGTCAATTGCTGTTGGCTATGTTGATTCTGATTATGCTGGTGATTTGGACAAGCGTCAGTCAACTAATGGATATGTATTACTTCTTGCTAGAGCTCAGTAAGTTGGAAATCTTCTTTGCAGTCTACGTTGCTTTGTCTACTACAGAGGCAGAATACATGGCAGTTACAGAGGCTGTGAAGGAAGCTATTTGGTTACAAGGGCTATTGGATGAATTGAAAATTAGTCAGAAGAAGATCACTATCTATTCTGACAGTCAGAGTGCTATTCAATTAGCAAAGAATCCAGTATTCCACTTTCGCACCAAGCATATAGATGTTCGTTACCACTTTGTGTGGGAAATTATTTCTGAAGGAAGAATCTTATTAGAGAAGATTGGGACTGCTGAGAATCCTGCAGATGTCTTAACAAAAGTAGTGACAATGATCAAGTCAATCACTGTTTGAACTTGATCAACATCCTGCGAGCTTGATTGTGCTTGGCATATGGAGGCGTTGCAAAATTGACAGAAGAATACAAGACTGTGAAGGTTTGCTAATGCCAAGGTGGAGATTTTGTGAAAAATGGCTTTTAGCAAATCACATGGGTAGAAATGATAATGGAGAAGGTTTGGGACTTATATGTAATAGGCTAAGAAAAGGTTGTTGTCCCACATTGATTAGGATTGAAAAGTGGGAAAATTTTGGGGCCTATATATAAGGACCCATCGTTATTAAGCTCCCAGTTGTAATTCATTAGACTTCTTTTGTTTGGGTTCTTTCTTTAATGACCTTTAATTTGTTGCGATATCTCCCTTTGTTTGAGTATTGGCAATAGATCGCACCAGACCTTTGATGTTGACGATAAGGGAGTTGGGGCAAGTGTACCAAATATTAGATGTACTACTTGAATGGTTGGGACAACAGATAGGAGGGAAGACACGTTGCTTGATGACATTGCACACGGCGCCCGAGCGGGACTGATTAGGTGAATTAATACGCACCTTCTTTACTATTGCCATTGGATGATTCTTTAAATTTTGCATGAGGAGTTTGGCAAAGATACAATAAACGCACGGTAGCGGGAGAGGCCAACATGTATCGGACCCGACGATACACCCGAATAGAGTGTATGTTTGATAAAAGAAAAAAGGTCCTATTCCCCGCGCAAGGACAGGCCAGGATAGCAGAAGACCAAAACAAAACAACAATAACAGCCAGACTGGGGAACAAAAAGAATACAGACCTCCGAGAAGAGGCGGGAGTAGCGGGCACAGCGCAGGACTTTATACAGAATCATTCAACCGGGCCTCCGTGAGACGCACACCGCACAAGAAAAGCCACCTACTCGCGGAGGTCGACCGACGCCAAAAGCCAAGGAGAGCAATAGGGTCGAACCGGCGTCATCTAGGAGGGGTTCACGGCACAGTGAAACGTAGGTCAACGGACCAAGTTCGAGGGTCGATCTTCGAAACATCAGGAAAGAGATGCTAACGACGCACCAGCAGGGACCAGAGCGATAAGCCCCCACCGGTTTCAACACCTGCACCGGCTAGGCCACTTCTACCTGTGTACGGAAATAAAACAACCCATCTCATCATCCACCCAGAGGAGACACGGCA